CTGGAGAAGGACATTATGCTTGGTAAAGTACAGGGTCAGTGAGAAAGAGGAAGACCCTCAACCAGATGGATTGACACAGTAGCTACAACAATGGGCTCTAGCATAGCAATGATTATGAGAATGGCGCAGGACTGGGCAGTGTTTTGTTCTGTTGTACGTAGGGTCATTGTGAGTCGGAATGGACTGAACGGCACCTAATAAGAACAACAACCACAATATGAGCTAGGAATGCACACGTTTCCCCCATCAAGCCTCAAACAAGACCCTAATTCCAATCAAAACTCCTTAAGTATAACTGACCAAAGCATTGCCTAGTCTTGTGCAGTCTTCTTGATTGTTGGTATGTTTGAATCCATTGTTTTGTCTATTGTGTCAATCCATTTCATGGAGATTTCCCTCATTTCTTTCATGACCCTCCACTTTAACAAGCATGGTGTCCTTTTTTAGGGATTGGTCTTTCTTGATGACATGTTCAATGTAAGCGAGCCGAAGTCTGGCCTCCTCACTTCTAAGGAGAATTCTAGTTGCGTTTCTTCTAAGATTCATTTTTATTTTTCTTCTGACAACCCATAGTATATTCAGTATTCATCACCAACAACACAGTTCAAATGAGTCAATTCTTCTTCTATCTTCCTTTTCATTGTCCAGGTTTTTCTTGCTTATGAGGCAATTGAAAAGACCTGACTTGGATCAGGTGCACATTAGTCATGAAAGTGACATTTTTTTTTTTAAATCTTTAAAGATGTCTTTTGCAAAGATTTGCCCAATGAAATAAAGGGTTTGATTTCTTGACTGCTGCTCCCATGGACGTTGATTGTTGATCTAATAGAATGAAATCATTGATAACTTAAATTTCTTCTTCATTTATCATGATGCTGTTTATTGGTGCAATTGTGAGCGTTGTCTAAGACTAGACAATAAATATTTTAGGCTTTTTCAGTTCATACATCTTTATGTCTCAGCTCCTCAACTTTAATGTTGTAGCATGACAACAACTACAGACAATATTGAATGAGTGTATTTTTGTTCCAATAGAACTTTATTTACAAAAAAACATGTGGTAGGCCAGGTTTTGCCTGTACTACCTAGTTTGCCAACCTTGATACAGAAGATTATTAGATATCTGCTTTGCCCCATCCCTATAACAATCCTCTCTTTTAGACCAAAAGTAATGACTATCTTGACCTCTACCATCCCAGATTAGGTTTGCCTGTTCTTTACACCTATAATATAAAAAATT